CAGGATTGTAGAGCTTGTAGCCTTTGGAGTTTGCATCGTACCCAATGAAGATGTACTTCTCACTTTTGTCATCTAGCTTGCTTCGTTTTTCATCAGGTACATGAGCGTGGGCAAGGCTTCCAAAGACTCTTAGATGTGAAACACCGGGCTTTCTTCCACTCCAAGCTTCTTGTGGTGTTTTCTCCCAAACACTTCTTGTTGGAGATCTGTTTGATAGATAGACCGCACATGCAACTGCTTCTGCCCAAAACTCCTTTGGTAGCTTCTTACTTTTGAGCATGCTTCTTGCCATCTCAAGAATTGTTCTATTCTTTCTTTCTGCTACTCCATTCTGTTGAGGGGATCTTGGCACCGACAATTGTCTTCTAATGCTATTATCTTCACAATACTTCAGAAACTCTTTCGACATGAACTCTCCTCCTCGATCAGATCTCATGGCTTTGATCACAATGCCACTTTCCTTCTCAACATGGGCTTTAAACTTTTTGAAGTTCTCAAACACTTCTGATTTTTCTTTCAAAAAGTAAACCCATGTTTTTCTTGAAAAGTCATCAATAAAGAGAAGGAAGTAGTTACTCTTACCGAGTGATCTTGGTTTAATTGGGCCACAAACATCTGTATGTATGAGCTCCAATGGCTTCCGTGCTCTTGTCTCTGACTCCTTTGGAAAGCTCATTTTGAATTGCTTTCCAAGTAAGCACCCATCACACACCTGATTTGGATGATTGATGCAGGGCAATCCTCTCACCATTTCTTTCTTAGAGAGTAGCTCCAAGCCTCCAAAGTTGAGATGTCAATAACGAAGATGCCAACGCCAAGACTCCTCTTTGTAGCACATCTTGAGACATTTTGCGATGTCATTTTGAATGTTAAGAACAAACATTCTATTCTTTGACATCGGCAACTTGGTGATGAGATTGTTAGCTTGATCTCTTATAGAAAGGCTATTATCTTTTAGTCGAATATCATAACCTTTCTCTAAGAGTTGTCCAAGGCTCAAGATGTTGGTCTTCATACTTGGAATATAGTAAACGTTGGAGATGAATTGATGATCTCCATTCTTCATTCAGATGAGAATTTTTCCTTTACCTTTCACCTCCATCTTTGATTCATCTCCTAAGGCCACGTCTCCTTTCACTGATTCATCGAGCTCCACGAACATGCTTCTTTTCCCGCACATGTGATTGCTTGCACCGCTGTCAAGGTAACACTTGTGGAACTCATCTCTTTCATCCTTCTTGTACGCCATTAATAGCATATCTTCTTCTTGGCTTCTTTCTTCAGCATAGTTGAACTTCTCTTCAACTCTATTGTTGTTTGGAGCTTTGCATTCTGAAGCATAATGTCCAAACTTCCCACAATTATAGCATTTGACGTTTGATTTGTCGTACCTTGATTTTGGAGTTCCTCTCCCACGTCCTATTGATGAGCTTTCTCCTCGTTGGTTAGTCTTGTCTTCATAGGACCTCCAGCCACGTCCATTTCCATAGCCATAACCTCTTCCTCGTCCTTGACCGCCACCTCTTCTTGGATGACTTCGGCCGCTTCCATCTTTGGTTTGATCAATTTGCATCTTGAGTACTTGTTCTGCAAGGTCTTCCTTCTTCTTCTTTTTTTCTTCATAGGCTTGTAGTGATCCTAGTAGTTGCTCCATTGTCATATCCTCCAAATCTTTTGTCTCTTCAATGACAGTGACAAAATGCTCAAACTTTGAATCCAACGATCTAAGAACCTTCTCCATGATTCTTACTTCATCTAGCTTCTCCCCATTCCTCTTTAGGTTATTAGTAACTGCTAGAACTCTTGAGAAGTAATCTTGGACAAGTTCACCTTCCTTCATTTGTAATGCTTCAAATTCTCCTCTTAGAGTCTGAAGACGTACCTTCTTGACTTGCTCTGCTCCCTTGTAAGAAGTTCGAAGCTTCTCCCATGCTTCTTTGGCCATTCTCTGGCAACCTTCTCGAATGTGTCTTCATCTAATCCTTGATAGATGAGACAGAGAGCCTTCTTGTCTCTCTTCCTTGAGTCTCTCAAACTGTCCTTTTGAGTTTGAGAAAGACTACCTTCATTCTCCGGTTCAATGTAGCCTTTTTGGACAATCTCCCACACGTCATGTGCTCCTAGAATGGCCACTATTCTTAGACTCCAATTGTCGTAGTTGCTCTTTGTGAGTATTGGAACTTGGAAGGGAATACCATTGCTTGCCATCTTTAAGAGAATCTTCTAGCTCTGATACCACTTTGTTGGAAAGAAAGAACTTTTAAGAGTGATGGAGAAGGTGTTTAAGAATTTGAAAGACAAAGGAACAAATTTAAGAAGAAGAAAGTTTTAGAACTTAGAAAGCTTAGAAACTTCACTTAACTTCTCTTATTATTTCTTTTAGCTTGTTGGTTACAAAATAAGAGAGGAGGTAGCTATTTATAGCCTCCAAAGTACAAAATATCTAAAATATTTTATTTCTAAATCTAGAGAATTCTATCTTAATATCTAGATTATTTTACAACAATTATCTAGAAAAATCTCTAGATATTTATTTTTTACAACTCTCTAAAACATTTTAAGAAGGTGAAAGTGTTGATTTTTCTAGAGAAAACTCTAGAATCTTTGATTAAGCATAATTGGGTTTTGGCCCAATTATTATTGGATCATTAACCCAATATTTAAGCTTGATCCAAAATCAAGTTTATCTTTCAACACATTAAGCGGAGGCTGCAAATCCTAGCCGGCTGGTCCAAAGAGGACATGAGGGAATCCAACGTTAAAGACATAGCAGCGTGGCGAAGAGAGAAGAAGACGGTGGCGGCGGAGAAGAGAAAGAGAGGATAAGACTTTAGGAGTTTTCTGCTTCTCTTGAATTTTCGAATGAGAATTATGAATGGGAGACGTTCTCTATTTATTCACAAGGTTACTTGTGCACAAAGCGAGAGAAAACCACGAAAAAAGAAGAAGTACTTATCCGTTTAGGAAAAGATAATGATATGAAAATATTATCTTTTGAAAAAAATATATATATTTTAAAATCTCTTAATGAAAAATGAAATATTGAAAGAAAAGGAAATTAAAACTTAAAGCGGTTTAGTTTGAAAAAGTTAATTAACGATCCCCGGTTAAAAAAAAACCCGGGGTATTCCTACATCTTGATGTCACTCCAGACTGGAAAATAGTTTATTATCAATGTGGTATCTCTTTTAAGGGAAATACTTATTGGTTTGCTAAAGAAAGGGTAAGAGGAGGAAACGATGATATTTTCTTATTTTGTTTTGATTTCACAAGAGAGAGATGGAGTTGAAGTTACTATTGATAGATATAGATCCGTTAATTCTAAGAATACTCGAAAACTAAGGTTTGTGAATACTCTTCACAGTGATCTATCAAAACTTCTTTTAAAGAATCTTTTTTATTAATTAATTAAAATCTAAATAATATAAAAATGACTATTTATAACAAATCTTTAAAACCTTAGGAAATCCTAAAAACTATAAAATAATAATTAAATAATTAATATAAACTAAATACAAATATTTAATATATTTATTAAATATATGCTATATCAGTTTGCTTTTTCAGCTTGAGTGGTTTTTTTTTTTTGTTAAAGTTCAGCTTGAGTGGTGTTATCATGCTGATGATACTGTGACTCTGTCTAGTGTTAGAGAAGAACAGCTTGCGGTTTTGTTTTAATGTTGGGATTCGTTATATACGGAGATTTGGATTACAACTAAAATTGAGCCCAACGCTGTGTCATGGAGCAGCGAGGTGTTCTTAGCCGTGAAATCGAAACCAATCACTTGGGTTGGCTTTCAGTTTCTGAAATATGCTGCGAGTTTCTTCATCGAGGAGAAGAAAGCCACTGTGGTTTTCGATAAAAGCAGAGACATAGATAACCCAACTCCCGACGTAGTAAGATCGTTGGAGTGGATGGAAACTTGAAAAAATTCTATCTTGGAGAATCTGAAAGCGAAGGAAAATGTTCTTACCCACTTGTTTGCTCTTTTGTTCCAAGTTTATTGCAGCCTTAACTTGTCCATTTGTCAATACCTATTTCTCTTCTTTTTTGGGCTGAATAAGCTACTTCTTGTTCGTTTACTCTTTTGATATGTTCTCTGAACAAAATTAAATATATTAATTTGTTTCACATTCTCCATTTTTTTCCTTGTTCTGTTGTAGTAGATTGACAGCTAAAAGACTTTTGTTGCAAGTGGCTGATACTTGAAAGATTTTCAATAATTTCTTGAAGTTATCGTCTAACCCTTTAATTTCCCATATAGGGTTTTAGGGCAAAAGTTCTTTTTTTTTTGTTCTTTCATTTGTTCATTTATAGCATATAGCTAGTTGTTCAAGCTATTCCTTGTTCATTTCTTCTTTTGCCATGTTCTTTTAGGATTCAGTGATTTGTTAGAGTTTGTATAATGCAGATGGAAAGCACCCAGGTGTGGCTTTTCACACCTATGCTTAAAGGTGTAGAGTAGAATGCGGCTTTGATGAGGTCAGGCCTTTGATCCCCTCGGGTCAGCATTTTGTGGATGGAGAAGAGTAGTTGCTAGTTTAAAAACCCCAAATCAAAATATAGTTTGATCTAGAATGGAAATATTGTTTAATCAGAATATAGGTTGATCTAGTGAAAATTACTAATTTCTATAATCCGAAGAAACTAAAACCTAACCGAACCGAAATCAAATACCACCACTAAAAGTCTAATATTTACTAATCTAAAAAATCCAAACCCAACCCAAAACCCTAGTTTGGCCACCCCTATGAAAAGAAACAGAAAGAAAAAGAAAAAAAAAACTTATGTATTGTTCAAAGAAGCCGAGTTTTAAGGGTTTTCTTGTTCTTACGATTCCGTAAGTTTTTTTTTTTTTTTTTTTTTTTGGTTTATCTTCTTCTGTTCATGAACAATCCCTTCCAGTTTACTTTTCTTACTAGTCTAAACGTCTCCGCTGATTCTGCAATTTCAGAAACATAAAAAAAAAACAGCTTTGAATTTGAAAGGAGTATTTACTATGGATTGGATAAGTGAGTTGCCTGATGCTCTACTCTTGACAACATTGTTTTTACTGCCTTGTGCTAAAGATGTTGCCGACACAATGGTTTTGTCAAAACGATGGCAGTTTCTTTGGATGCATGTGCCAAAGCTCGTATACGATGATAGAAAAATTGCGCGTGGAAGGTTTATAACCTTTGTATTCAGTTCTTTGCTTAGGCGCGAGGGTCCACAAGCTTTGCATTTCAAGCTTGTTCGAAACTATTGTGATATAGGATTCTCGCTTTATAGTTGGGTATGGACACATTTGCGTGAGCTGATTATCGAGATTGATTCCTCATCTAGCATCAAATCTCAAGTCACGCTTTCTACGAGATGCAGAATGCTTGTGACATTGAAACTAAGTAACGTTATTCTCGTTGATTATTCCATCCCTCAAAACTTTGAGCCTTGTATCCGTGGAGTACCCTGGTGAAGGATTTGTCAAGAGGTTCCTATCCAATTGTCATGTTCTTGAAGACTTGCATGTTGAACAATGTCGAGATGACAATGTTACCATTTTCACCGTTATAGTGCCTTCTCTAAAGAGTTTGTCCTTGCATACAGTAGGCAGATATATAATAAATGATAAAGAAGGGTTTGTGATAGATGCTCCTTCTTTAGAGTGCTTGACCATTTCTGATGAGAGCGGTGGGTTTTGTATCATTGAAAATGATCTACCTAAGATTGTAACGGCGAGTTTGAGCCTCTGGTACGTGGATCCTTGGAAGATTCTTGGTTCTATTACTTCAGTCAAGCGTCTAGATTTATGTCTTGCATGTACAGAGAATGCTTATCATGTTGGTTGTGTCTTCAAGAGTCTTGAACGTTTAAAGATATGCACATGTGACGAAAAGTGGTTGAATCTACTAATGTGTCTGCTAAGAGATTCCCCTAACTTAAAAGCTCTAAGAATTGAAGAGTGCCATGAAGCTTGCGATGACGCGTGCTGGAACGAACCGAGCTCAGTTCCTAAATGCGTGTTATCGAGTCTTGAAACTCTCGAATGGGTTAAATATAAAGGAGCAAAAGAAGAGAAGGAGCTTGTGGCATATATCTTGAGAAACGCAAACTGTTTAAAGAAGGTAACTATCTCCTCTAAGTCTACTAACCCAAACAGGAAACTTAAGATGACGAAGGAGTTGTTATACCTTTCAAGGTGTTTAAGTACCTGTCATCTTATATTCGACTGAAGTTGGAGAAGAAGAAGAGATCTGAAGAAGCTGGGGAAGACGAAGAATTCTGTAGTTGGGAATGAAGCAAACACGCTAGCTCATTTGGAGGATTTGTAGTTACTATCTACTCTAAAGACTATTTGAGAGTGTATAGCTTGTTAATAAGTGATTCTACTCTAAAGACTATTTGAGAGTGTATAGCTTGTTGTCATCGCCTTGAGATCTTAGCAATAGAGTTTAGATTTCTTGTAATGGAGTTTTTCATATTTATTTATTTTTATTTTTATTACTTTTTGTTTATCTGAAGATGAATTAAACCAACTTGAACCGGCCTAAAGTTAAAATAAATTTTAGTACATATCAAACCTCTGTACAGGAAAATATCTAAATCGAACCCCCCACCCACCAAAAAATAAAAAGGATTCTCCAAACTTAAACTAAATGGTACCAACCAAATTAACAGAAGCTGATCAATTAAATTTGAGAAAGTTCCTTAGAAACAATAAATAAGGGATAAATTGTAGTTCAGTAACCAGCCGAAATTAAATACCTAACCGTATCGATTGGATTGCATTTTACCGGAACGTTCCGGTTTAGGAGATATACGTACATGTCCTCTCGTCTTGTTACTATTTACAACTTCACCCCTGTAATTGCTTCAGTCGAAAAACCTCACAAATAGCAAAAACCCTAATTTACATCGTCGCGGCCTGACAAATTCCAAAATTTTCCGAGAGCGTCGACGCCGATAGCCGCCGACAGTGTTTCCGCTTCTCACGACACACTCAGAGGATGAAGGAGACCAGAAAGCTAAAGAAGAGAAATCCCCACGACGGTAGGTCCTAGTCTCCTCGCGTTTGTTTTCTTCTTTCTCTCTGATTTCGATTCTAATCAATATAATTTGTGTATTCTGCCTAATTTTCCATGAATTTTTTCCGAAGTTTTCTTAATCAATTTATGAGAGTCCATTGCAAAACCTATGAATTGAGAGACACACCAAACGAAAGTTTGTCCTCTGTTGTGTACACTTGATTCGATTTGGAACAGCTCCACAAAAAAATTTCATTTATTTTATAAATTGAAGCTCGTAGTTTCTTTTAGCTGCCCAATGTTTTTTTTGCTTAACTGAAGCTCTGATTCTTTTTCTTGTTTCAGCTGAAGTGGTTGAGAAAATCAATGGAGAAGAAACTGGTAGAAAGAGAGTTGGCAAAATGCAGAGGATGAAGAAAGAGAAAGTGAGCGATGTTGACTCAAGCGAGCTACAAGGTGAGAAGTTTTTGGCTTTGATGGATTCAGAAGAGAGATTGTGTTAATAAGATGTGTTCTGGTATTGAGTTTTAGTATCTTCTTTTTAGCTATTCCAAGTGAGAAACCCAAAGTAAAAAAGGTTGAATCGGAGAAGAAGATGCAGAAGAGTAAAAGGAAGACAGAAGATATAAATAGCTCACCAGTTGATGTTAACGTCAATAAGAAGAAAATTCAGAAGAAGAGAAAATCAAAAGGAGACAACATTGATACAAACGAGCATTCGCAAATTACTCCGGAAGGTGAAACATTTTCAAGAATTCATGATATAGCTATCCTGTTCTTAGATTCGAGTATTGAGTTTTAGTACCTTTGGCTCTTTGTTATAGCTATTTCGAATGAGAAAATCAAAGGAAAAAAGGGAAAATTGAACAAGACGAAGAAGAAAAGGAAGGCCGAGGAAATATCTAGTGGCCCTGTTGATGAGGACGATGATCATCTGAGGCAAGAAGGTGTGTGATTTCATCATCATATTAGCTAGTTTCAAGCTCTCATATAATATGTTGTTTTAGCAGTCATTCAAAACCTGTCATACAGTATTAAATCTGACGTTGGCCTCAATGTTTGATAGATGATGGCGACAAGAGTTCCATTGAAGCTGTGAATGCTGATAATGGAACTGCGATAAGAAACCGTAAGTTCAAAGCTACCCTCTTGTGAAATATTTGGTAGATTGTGTAATTTTAATGTTTGTTTGGCCGCATTGTTTAATAGAGTAACTCGTTTTTTTAGGCAAGTCTAAGAAATCAAAGAAGAATAAAAAGATGAATTTGACCACGGCCAAAGAGAATGAAAGGTCTTCGGAAAAGATGAACGAAATTGAAGAGGAGGAAGATGTTTATCAAATTTCTTCAGGCGATGAGGATTGCTCCAGAGGAATGAAAAGTATGAACGATACTAAAATAATTGTCTGCGTCTTTCATCATTGTTGATAACGAATCAGTTTCTTGAAAACTATTGAATATGTTTCTGTCTGTGTGAAACTGCAGAGTGGCTTACTGATTACTCTGAGAGTAGACCTGGTTTAGACGAGCTGCAAACGAGAATCGATGACTTCATGACTGCTCACGAAGAACGCCTTGAACAGGTTCTTTTTTTTTTTTGTCTCTCACTACATTTTGAATCATTCATGTCTATTGTCTTGTGACTACAACGACGACTTTTATCTATTGTTGGCATATGTGTATTGAACAGGAGAAACAAAACCGAGAAGCTAAAGCTGCAGAAGGTGGATGGACAGTGGTCGTGCATCACAAAGGAAGGAAAAAGACAACAGAGGCCGAATCTGGAATAGCCGTTGGATCTGTTTCTCAGGCTGCTTTGGAGGATAAGGTAGCCAAGAAGAAACAGAGCGAGCCTGTCGCTCATGGTTTCTACCGTTTCCAAAGGCGAGAAGCACAACGCAGTGGTAAGTTTTTGGCTTTTTTTTAATATTCAAAGCTTCAAAACTTGATAACTTGTGATGCCACAAGTAGTCATGGGCATGTAGGCTCTTCTTGTTGTATGTGTTTTGATTTTAATTCTGATGATTGGTTCTTTGGTTTGTGTTTTCTTGTTTGTCGACAGAACTCTTGGCGCTTCAGAGTAAGTTCGAGCAAGACAAGAAAAGGATACAACAACTTCGAGCTGCTCGTAAGTTTAAGCCTTACTAAGTAAAGAACATATATCCCCACATGAAAGCTTGAGAGCAATATCATGAATGTGTTTTATGATTAAGTGTTTTTTTTTTTTTTGTAATTGACAATTAAACAAAAAGAAATATTTGTTTAGATTGGAGTCTTTTTGATAGGGAAAGCCAGTGGTAACGATAGTGATAGGATGATACTTAGAATTATAATGTCACTCTGAACTTGGAATGCTTGGAATGCTGCTGCTTCTGGTAGGCATTAGATTTCGGGTCAATATGGATCTTCCGTCTTCGTCAACGCTATGATCTGTTTCTTAAGAAATAGTTAAGCGCCGCTTCTGCCGATCTTTATGGATGATAATCAGCGAATATCTTCGTCAACGCCAATTACTTATAATGGCATGATCCTACAAAATCATGTAAATGATTATAAAGTGGAAGTGTCCTTCGCGCTTCCAAGTCAGGCCAGATTGCAAGATAATGAAACTCATATTCGAATATTATTTCAAATCTTTACTACGTCTAAGAGCGCTGGAAAACTAGAGACAAATCCCAACATCGTATCTTCGTCTGATTCACAAGTATTTAGTCCATTTTTTTGTATGATTCATCAGAAGTTCATTTTCCCTATTTTCAGCTAGTAGACCAGTTTCGGATCTTAATTTGGGATCTCTTCTACGGAATGAGATACAAGTAATAGATGCTTCTTCTTGTACTACTCTGAGTCCCAGATGACTATTTTAAGCCTATTTACTCCATTTTTTTGTATGATTCATCAGAAGTCTGTTTTTCCTATTTTTGGCTAGTAGACCAGTTTTCGGATCTTGATTTGGGATCTCTTTTACAGAACGAGACACAAGTAATAGAGGTTTCTCCTTGTACTATTATGAGTTCGAGATGACTATGTCAAGCCTATTTACTCCATTTTCTTTGTATGATTCATCAGAAGTCCGTTTTCCCCATTTTCGGCTAGTAGACCAGTTTTGGATCTTGATTTGGGATCTCTTTTACGGAATGAGATACAAATAATAGATTTAAACGGTTTGACAAAGGACAGAGGAGATTTGGATCAGCGTTCAACAAAGCTAAAGGGGAACAGAAGTTTGAGAAACACTCTTGGAAGACAGAGATCCAGTGTCATGAATGTGAAAGATATGGACACATTCGATCGGAGTGTCCTACAATCAAGAGGAGGGAAACTCTGAGATGCGCTGAGTGCAAAAAAGTAGGACATTCAAAGTTTGAGTGTGTGATATCTCCTATATTTATACCATTTAAGACTGTATCTAGTTCATGTTTTGATCCTCTTTTGCATGTTTTCCCTTGCTTTTGTCTTATTTTTCTTTGTTTATGGACTTGGGTTGCATTTAGGTTGTAGTTTGCATTTTTTTTTTGCATAAAGAATCTTTTTAGGTACCTAAGGAGCCTTTAAAGACAAGGAGGAAGCATGGGAATGATTCAGGGAGTTGCCCCAGTCAAGGAGAATCAAGAGGAGCTAAGGAAGTGGAATTTTAGCCCAGCATTGAGCTTGATGGAGTCCACATCGCACGATGTAATTCACCCGAGAAGAAAGGAGTTTACATCAAGCACTCACATCGCACGATGTCAAGCCACAGGACACCCACAGACATCGTACGACATCTTTGGGCAGGAACTACCAAGACTTACATCAAGCTTCAGCATCGATCCAGTTTGCCCGATGTCAGGCATCCGAGGAAGCATATCGTGCATCCATATCGAGCAAGACCAGCTCGATATCAGTACATCGAGCATCCACATCGACCTAGCCAGCTTGATGCCCTCCTAACCCGAATACCACTTATTTACAACTTTGCCACTCCGCTAGGACCCCTATAAATACTTAAAATCCCTAATTTTTGGGATCATGCTATTATCCAACAGTTCTTTCTTCTTTTGTTCTTAATCACACATTGTAGTTTTGAATCTTTGCTTGATTTTAATATAAATTTGCATTTAGCCTCCCTAATCATAATTAGCTATCTTTCCTCCTTTGATTTGATGGTGATTAGTGAGTAGTCTTTTTAAGGATTTGAGATGGGTAAGGGGTTTAGGGAATTTGATGCTTAATCCTTGATAGCTTAGTGTTAATTCTTCCATTTCTTTTCTTATTTGCTAAGTTTAATGCATGATTAGCCCTAACTAAGTTGATTTGGATCATAGGCTTAATTTATGCCCACCAAGTGTTTGTTGAAATACCTGAATTACAAAGTAAGAGAATTGCTTATCCTGGCTCAAGAGATTGACTGTCTAGGGAGTGATTTGGCATTATAGAATTGAATGAATGTCTTAATGCTTGCTTTTTATTATTTCACTAATGAGAATCAGTTCTTAACTTGATGATTAGTGAAGAGATTAGTGCCAAGAGACTGGATTAGTCATATAAATGAATTATATGCATAAGGAATAACATTGTGTGAGTTTGTAAGCATATTGGATTGAGTAGAGAGTTTCCTAATACCAATTATCTCATCTTAAGTCCTGTCTTTCCTTTTTTTATTGCCATTTTCGAAATTGCTTAGTTCTCTAGTCTTGTCTTGCTTAGTTTTGGTCTTTTGCTTGTTGCTTGCTCTTATTAAGTGTTTGCTTCAATTTTGCTTTGATCATTTAGGTTGTTAGACTCTAATCTTTTCTATTCCTGCTTGAACCTTTACTGCATTATTACTGTTTCAATTCTCCCCTTTTGGATTGATAAACTCAATGCTGCAATGACTAGTATGAGCTTGAGGATTAATATAGCATAAAAGTTTATATCAATTTGGCGTTGTTGCCAATAGGAGAATGATTTGATCAGTAGGATTTATAGAGATCTTGAGATTAAAGCTCTTTTATTTTCGTTTTTGGTTACTAATTACTCTTTTTGGTCTAGAATTTCTTTTGAATGTACTAAAACACTTGTTCTTAAGTGTCTACAACTGCAACTGAGGTTCAAGGTCAAAGATTTTGGGTTCACAGCAACAGAAACCAGTTATTGAAGCATGGAAGAGCATCCATATGCTGCTGGTTTTGGTTGCAAGGTCAACAAGGTCTTCAAGGGATACAAGGGATTCAAGGCTTGCAAGGACAGCAAGGTCCACATGGTTTACAAGGAGCTTAGAGTATGAGAGATCAAAGACCATTGAGGCCTATAGGTGCAGCAGATATACCATCTAGCTATGCCACAAGACAAGGTATCCTTCCACCTATGGAGACTCATCACTATGAGATAAAGAGTAGCATGATTGCCATGGTATATGAAAAGAAGTTCTTTGGCTTGCCTAATCAAGATCCTCTTGAGCATTTGGACCACTTTGAGAAAGTTTGAGCTATGACAAAGCTTAGTGGGGTTTCAGATGATGGATTCAGGCTCAGATTGTTTCCATTCTCTCTTGGTGATAGAGCTCAAATATGGGAAAAATCTTTACCACAAGGAATCATCACCTCTTGGGAACAATGCAAAAGAGCTTTTCTAAACAAGTTCTTCTCTCCTTCTAGGACTGCCAGATTCAGGAATGAGATCTCTAACTTCAAAAAATGGTCCAGTGAGAGCTTTGGAGACACTTGGGAAAGATTTAGAAGCTTCACTCAGTAGTGCCCTCATCATAGCTTCACAAAAGAGATGCTTCTCTCAAACCTCTATAGAGGTGTTCTACCAAGAGTAAGAATCCTTCTTGATACAGCTAGTAATGGTTATTTATCTGGGAATAATGTTGATGAAGGATGGATATTAGTAGAGAACATAGCACTGAGTAATTGAGATTATATTGATGAGTTTAAGCACAAGAGAGAAGGCAAACGGCTCACAGTGTATGTTTAAACAAAATGTAATAAAATAAAAATCGTCTCTTTGCTTCCTCTCTCTCGAACTCGAAGAAGATGAATCTTTTCCTCTCTGGTTTGTCGCGTCTTGTCGGCTCTAGCCCTGTCGTCCCTGAGCCAGATCTGCCACCATCAGTTTCGCCGCATCCGAGATCAATGTTTCAAACCGTCAATCCTGCCTCTCAGGAGGCCTTGAAGTCTGAACCGGTGCATGCTCAACCCAATCGGCTTGCCATAATGGTGTATCGGGGGGAGTAAGGCTCCATCGGAACCTTTTAAGGAACCGATCATCCAGTTTCCGGATTATGATTCTCCATGCGTTGATGCTTCTTATCCGGCTGAATCCAACAATCAATCCACCAGCACCAAACGATCCTTGGCGGTCAAAAGCTCCATGGCAACGTCTCGTCGTTACTCTACTAGAAAAAGGTCAGCCCAATCCTCTACCGGATCTCCATCACCTGCGCTGTCAGAACCTAGCCGGAAAAAGACTCGGTAAGCCAAGGGCAAGGGAGTTCTGGATTTTGACGCTGCTCGGTTTGTATCAGCCCAATCACAAGAGAGGTATGCTTCTTTTGCTGCTCATCCTATTCTGGAGGAACAGGTTACTGAATTTGCTGAGGAACATAAGAACATTGAATCGCTTGTCGTCAATTCTGGTATGGGAAGTGCTCTGAGTCTTGTGCAGCTGTATGCTAAAGATGTGTTACTTGAGTTCTATACTCATCTCTTGTTTGTAAAACCAGTTGAGGATGTAGCGATTGTGTGTGTTCGGGGACATGCATACAAGTTCTCTGTCGCTCGGATAAATGACTTGTTTGGTGTGTCAATGCTTGCTGAACAGGCTGAAGTGGCAGAAATTAAGGAACTATCAGACGAAGTTCTTACACGTTTCATGTCTGATGACAAAGAAAAGCTCCTGAAAAAGATGACTCCCACTCAGTTCTCGCAGGACAAAGCTCTGTTGTATCGTATCTGTTGCTTCAACTGGATGCCTACAGATAATGCAGGATATCCTAGACCGGACAGAGTGAAAATTGTCTAGTTGACATCTCCGACGAAGTCGTCATGATCACTCTAAATAAAAATCTATGGAAGAATCATCTGTTATGCAACTGACTCAAGATCGTCAAACCAAAGACATTTGAGGACACTCTCCACAAGGCTACCACATACATAGTATTGGAAGAGGAAGACACCGACCTGCAAGCCGAGGAGGAGAAAATCGTAAAGGATAAGAAGAAGACACCAGTTTGAGACAAGCATGACGAGTACCAGGAACCCTATAACCGAAACGATAAAACTCGCAAAGCAACCATATCGACAGTCTCCAGCCAATCACAGTGGAACAAATAGGATCGCCGAGCTGACAAATGCATTGATCCCAAGCCATACTGAACATCACAAGAGATTGGGCCACAACATCGACGACTGCTACTACATGAATGCCCAACTCATGAAGAAATGGAAACAAGGCGAGATAACATTGGAGGACCAACCTAACGAGTCAAACGCGCAATGACAAGCGTGAACCCTAGGGAGAAGAACAGCCAACGACAAACCCCCTAAGCGAGTTTGGGAGAACGATAATCTACACCCTCCCAATTCACCCCAACACAGTATGTCTTTTGTCTTGATTGTCAGCTCTTCCGAGAACAGTTGTGACATGACTAGTGCAATACGTCTTTTGTCATGTTTTTTTTTATTAACATTTTTTGCTATGTTAACATTGGTTTTTCACAAATTGGTTTTGACCATTTTTCGATGGGTTTTTTTACAAAAACATCTGTCAGAATAACTGAATTTTAAATAGAATGGAATCGTCAGTCGTAATTAACACTATAGTTATTATATTGTTTTTATTGTATTTAAAAATAAAATTTTAAAGTCGGGGATTTGGAAAAATTATAAAGTTAACAAATTTGACTAAGGGGAGTGTATTCAACTTAACATTTGGAATGATTTGAAAGAATTTGAGTTTTAATGAGTTTTTAGATGATTTGATTGAATTATCAAAATTGCTATAATTTGATATCAAAATTCTACCAAACTCTACCTAAAATCATGAGATTTAGATTATTATATTTTTAATTAAGAAATTTCATCAAAATATTTTAAAATCACTCTAAGCTTCTTAAAACTCTCTACTTAAATTATTTCCAATAACAATGAATTTAAAGATACATTTTCAAATCACTAGTTCAATAATACTGAATTTTAAACAATATTTTAAAATTTATGTTTTAATAACAAATGATTTGTGATTTTAACAAATCACTCTAAATTCTATTTTGAATACATTTCCTGAGGCTATTTGAGAATTTTGATTGAAATCCTAAGTATATAAAGTATGATGTGTAACCATTTGATTCAAAAGAATTGGGGGTGGACACTATATGTTATATTATATTAGAGAAGGACGGATCAAACTGGACTTCAGAACGGACGTAAAGTTTGGATTTGGCAAATGGTCAAAACGGATTTGGCAAATTGGAAGGGCCAATAGTCAATTCTTTTTTGGTCCAAATCCGTTTTGACCTCCTTGGTTAGTTTAGTCAATATAAATCAAATTCAATTGGTGAGTACAGACGAACGTGATTAATGCATATTAATTATGTCATTAACTCGACAGTCAATCATAATAAATGTTTTGATCTCAGGCTATTTGAAAACATAGATGCCTCTCCATTTAATCATGGTTTTTTTCTGTAGATGCAAGATCAAAACATCAAATCCTTCACATCTCTTCTTCTTCCTGTTTTTTTGGTATGAGAGTACAACAATTAGCAGAAAATAAAAGACGCTAATTGCATTACCACTGGCACAAATGATAGATACAGCCCTGTTGGTTTTACAGTCGCAGCATTTGTAGCGGCAGAAAAATAACAAGTGAATGATTCAATAAAGTCAAGTTTACCGCACCGCCGACTGTCGCAGCTTCACAAAAAGAATTACTGTTCTGCCGCTGTTAATTTTTGGCGTCTCCAAAATCATCGGATCAAAGCCGCAGCGGCAGAAAACAATAGAAGTATAAAGCATTAGAGGAGAGAAAGAAGAGATGAAAGGAGAGATGAAAGCCTTGTTTTTTTGTCGCCGGTAGCTGCGGCAGCGACTGTTAAAGGAACACGGCTAATGTAAAAATGATACCCTTTTATTGTGATCAAACAACATCAGATATTTTACTACTTAACTTATACATAAATTTTAAATCTATAAAATTTGCCAAATTTCATAAATGTGTCCTTTCCATTGATACATATTGTTCTCCTCTCTTCACCCAACCATTATTCTCCTCTTGAGCTCCATCCTTCAAAGACACAAACACACATCGTTAATGCCAAAATCTAGACCAAAATGACGTTTTTCAAACCGGTACAGACTCAACCGAAGTGTTGAACTGGTGAATTATAAACCGGGACTACTACTATATGTCAAACACTACAACCCGTTATATTAGTCCTTGACTGAGCCAGAGTGCTAAACCGGTGAATTACCTCATAAGCTGGCGGTCTAGAGCACCTGTGGACATCATACCGCGGTTTTCATATGCCCGTCTTATAAGGTATGGAACCGCGGTTGCGACAGGTCCATAGGGCATGTACTTGCTGACATTAAAACCGGACCTTTTCAATCCGAAAGATAATGCATCCGACATCCCGTAAAGCTGCGCAAACTCAATCTTCCCGTTCTCTTTATTGATCCCTAGCTCACTTGCTTTCCTTGCCCCTAGTTTACCTATCAAGAATCACAAATGGGAAAAATATATCACTATAACAATGCCGACGGACTCATCCTTAAATCTTGGAATGAGCGACAAGCACCACAACAAATTTTAAGAATCGAACAAAACTATAGTTTATCAACACGAATGGTAGAGAAATTCTTATCCCAAATAAATCGAATAAACCAAAAATCGTTTAAAAACAATACTTTCAAATATTTTATAAAAAAAAATGATCAAATATATACTAAGGATATATTTTAGTTCATTTTGTATGTTTGATCCAAAACATAACCGAATATTTTAAAATTGCACCGAGCCTAGATCAAATTCGCTTTTAACTCGGACCAGTTATCCAAAACCTGAAAAACTTTAGCAACCCAAACCAAAAAATTGAGTATACATTTCATTATGTTCATTCTTATTTTCGATTTTCTGTTTACAAATGTAGAAATTATATTTTATAAATATGGTTCAATGGCTTACCGGAATCGGTGTTATGCGTCGCTAGAATGACAGCAATGCCGGATCCATTGGAGGCTTTCTCCATAAGGAAAGTCATACATTCATTGTAGCAAGCATGTGTGTCTTGAATGGTGTCGTGGACTGGTGACTTGTAACCCAAGGAATCTGCTAACCTAGCTTCACTAGACATATAAGCACCTCGCACCAATTTAAACCCAATAGGAACATTCATTTTCTCTGATTCTCTGAATGCCAAGTGCAATCTCTCTCCTGCATCTTTCAAATAAGCCTGAATCGTGTTGTACACAATTGGTCGATCTTTGTCCGAATTGAACATGATCGCCGACCAATACGCCATGTAATCGATCGCTGGTTGGAGAATCGTGTCTTCGGCATCGATTAGTAACGGTACGTTCGATTCTTGGCATCGAAGACAGATGGATTTGATGCGTTCGTGAGCTTTTTCAAGCTCTTCTTCTTCCTCTACGGTTAATGGCTCAGGTTCGGAGGTTGTGTGGTAGAGAGGACTTGAACCGGAGAAAACTGGAAGCGAATTGAGTTTCCATGGAAGTTTGAAATTTGGGTTCTTGTATTGCCACCGGAGCAAATCGCTTACTCGTTTTAGGAGACTCATTGGACAAATCGCTGTGATTTTCACTACCACGGAGCTTAACTGTTCAGGCAAAGACCAAATTAAAAATCGGTTAAACAGGGCACCGCTGTAAACCGCGGCAATTAAATAAGGAAGAATATTCCACGACTGTAGTTGACAATTCAGGTTTCCAAATGTGTTCTCATTGCGTGATTATCTTTAAGTCTGACGAGAAACTGACGTGGTTTTGATTATTCTATTAAAATTAGTAAAAAACAAAATTATTATTCAGACAAGTTGATGTTCTTTTTTGCTTTTTAAGGTTTTGGTCTACATTTTTTTGTTCTGACAGCAACGTTTTGGTCATATTTATCATTTAATTTGTTATTTAAATATACATAAAGGAATTTAATTGGGTAATTGTTACTCCACGTTTTTATAAAATTTTCTATACAGGACAATATATAGGATTTGGTTGTAGATCCAACTTGCACATATTTGATTATTCTATTGGTATTCGATATGTATAAAAATAATGGTTGTATTATATCGAATAATTAAATTATTCTTGTCAACCAAAACTTAAGGAATTAGTGTCAAAACATTTCGAGTAACAACAAACACTTATATGGATGAAAATATATGAAGAGATGCTTGTTTTGGAAAAAAAAAATTAGAGAAATGAATAGAAATAGATGAACTTTTTGAGGATAGGAAAATGAAAAATAAGATAAAATGGAGATTATCTTACGTGTGACGTAGGTAGGGTTTTCGCAGCTTCAACGGTCTCAAGGAATTTCTCGATGTTGCTATCACACGCACCACCGTCTTCGGCATGTTCAACGCCGTACACCAACATTCCTTTAAGTCCCGTTGACTCATACACGCTGCTCACGCGCCTTGCGGCGGCAGCCGCGTCTTCACCGGCGCAGAAATGGTCGTAAAACGTTCCTTTCACGAAACGGAGGACTAAGTCGCGTGTTATGGTCGCGTCCATGAGCTTCGAGCTCATGACCCACGAGCCAAGATCGACCATAGGGCCTATAGCCGTAGCGTGAAGAACGGCCGTTGAACGGAAAAGGTCCGATATTGGGACAGAAGCAAAGAGTCTAGCTTGGTCAGAGAGATCGAGGTCAACATCTGATTTTGGTTGGTCAAAGGAAAGAATCTCCGGGATGATGGTTGCAGGAGGACCGACGGGACTCACGGTGGAGAAACGGTGGATGAGATTTGGTCGGAGGAAACGGTTTGCCATCATAACTATATATAAGCGAGTTTTTTGTTTCTTCTTTTCTGTTATTTTTGTCTCTTTTCCTTCACAATCGGTTTTGTGTGTGTTGGGGGTTTATGTGTAAGTTGTTGGTAGATAACGTATTTATACACTCACGGCTTTATGTGTGTACTCTCTATATGGTAATATATAAGGTCTGAATGGGATAACATAAGTTTTTCTTTCTTAAATTGGGATGGAATCAGGAAAGTAATCATAAAAAATTACGAGAGAATCTTTTCAAAAAGTGAAAATTGACTAATTTTTGACATGGATTGAAATCTTTTCAAAAAGCCATTTCACATTTTTTCATTTACTTGTTATCATTCATAAGGATTTATATATTCAATGGCTTTAAATGAAAATCTACTAACAAGCAAAAAAATAAAGATATGGAGGTTTTCATGGCTAATTTTTATTTTCTGGAAATAACTTAAAACTTTTGATAGACACAATTAAAGTACTTAAGCTTATCTTCATATTGCAATTTGCATAGCAAAAACAACGTGGCTTTTTGTGGTGTTGACGTCAAAACTACGTGGTTTCCTATTTTAATCGTAATTTATGGTATCATTTAATTAATTGAAAAATCCTTTTTAAAGAGGATATTTCAGTTTTTTTTTTTAAATAAGTAGTATTTCCTATGTTTCGTATTAATTAGATTTTAAAATTTAATTTTTGTATCACTTTTAATTATTTACAGTAATTAATATTTTAAACTACATTCAAAACTTAATTACATCTAAATTTACTTTTAAACATAATCTTTTAATGATATATATATTAGATGTAGTTTTTGATAACTTTTTTATCCAAACTGTTTTATCTTATTAACTAGAAATATCATATTACATACTATATTAATAAAGGATAAAATGGAAAATTAAATGTGTATCATAATAATATGTATAAAAAAACTTTAAACGACTTATACTGAAAATAAAAAGAATATAACTTACCATAATTATAGCAACTTTTAACAGTACCTACTTAAAATAAAATTAAAAGATTTAGAAAAATCTAAAAAAAAACTTGATATCAAATGGTGAGCATGATAATCAAGTAAGATATTTTGTTTTTTAGTTTTAAAATTTTCTTATTCATGGTTTTTTTACTGCACAGTCATCTAGTAATTGTTTTGGATAATTTTTATAATTGTTTTTGGTATTTTAAATTATTGCATTTAATAAAAAATTTTAAAAATGTAAGAGAAGAATTTCAACGTAATATTTTCGCAAAAAAAAAAAAAAAAAATCAGCGTAATTTTCAATCATAACATATTTGTTTTGGATAAAAATAATAATAATTAATCGACTAAGAAAGTCGAGTCAGATACACGAAGGAGTGACTATATAGGATGTGACTGGATTTAATATATAAAAAATAAGAATTGTTGATTTGTTTTCGCGGTCGGTGGATGGTGAATCGGATTCAACATTATGACCTGAACTAATGAATCTTTGACTTTACTACTCATTTGGAATCTTCAAATGAATTTAGAAAGATTCTTTCCCCGAAAAATGAAATAAAACAAAACTGAATATATTGTCGTTAACAAAAAAAAAACTGAAAAGTATATTTTTGCTTTAATAGGTTTCTTATTTTTTGATAACTTAAATTTATTATCAACGTGTATTCTTTTTGATAACTTAAACGTTTATTCTTCTAAAAATTCGTTTTGTTTCTTTTTTCTGAAGCTGAAATGCTTATTTAGTGTTTTACAACTGGACGTTACTAATACAGAATTATATAGCAGGAAAAGTCATCTACAAGTACAACTTTTCTTACATAAGATTAATTCATTTATATATATATATAATATAATTAGAAGATAAGAAGTTAGATTTTTGTGATATTTTTCAAATACAATTTTCGTTATTATTTTAATATTTTATCCTATAAAATTGAATACTTTAAAGTTAATAATCACCATAATCACTATTGATCAGATCTTAATATGTGTAAAAAGTTAACCAATTATATTTTAATATAACTAGGTGTTTTCCCGCACAAAGTGCAGGGTTCGATTAATTTTTTTTTAAAAAATAATATTAATTATTTATAGATGAAAAAATCAAATTTTATAATTATTTGAAATCAAAATTAATATATTTGAAAAACACAATTTTCATGAGATATATTATTTTTTTGGCCGCATAAATTAATTTTCATAAGATTTAAGGTTTACTTGTAGCTGCATAAATCAATATGGTTAATCGAAAATATTAATAGGTTAAACGATCAAATTAAAATTAGTTTAAGAAAATAATTAAGATTGATTTTTTTTTATGATTGTATGAATATATTATTTTTTGTGACAAAGCAAAATATATTATTTATATCTTATTTTTAATATATTTTATATTATCCGATAAAAACTTAAAAGTATGCTTTTTTGTTTTGTTGCATTTACCAAACATGATAAATAATACTCTTCTTTTGATGTAAATTAGTAGATTATGATTAATGAAATTCAAAGTTTGCATTAAGAAAAAATATAGCAAACCAAAATGACCAAAACCAAATGATCCTTGTTTCAAATCAACTTAATATTAATTAATATATATATAAAGTTTTAAAAGGGTTTTTAAATGATTTAAAGTTTTACTTATGATCGCATAAATCAATTAGATTAAACAATCAAATTAAAATTAGTTTAATAAAATAATTAAGAATTTTTATTTATATTCTATTTACCTTTTTTAGTAATCTATATATTTTTATGATATAAACTTGAATTTGGAAATTTAGATTTAAAAAAAAATAAAAATCAATTAAAAGTTAAATTATATTAATTTGTTAATTTCATTAAAAGTAATTAAAGTAAATTCACATAAGGGACAAAATGTAATCAATTATCATAACTCTCAACCATAATCCAACTTGCTTCTCTATTAATAATATGATATTAACCTAATTTTTTTTTAATTATCTTTCATGTTTTCGATTTAAACTAAGAAATTATATGATCGATTAATAATATTAAATAAAATATATTAAATGAGAAATGACGATATGGTATTACATAACAAACCTCTGTGAAATATAATTAAAAATATAAAAGAAAAGAAGTTTCATTTTGTAGTTAATTTTCAATTTAGTTGGTTGTTTACTTTAAATATAAAGACAATTCCTAATTTTTAATATATTTTCAGAATTAAAAGAGAAAGAGCATGGATATATTGTCAAAAATTATTCAAATTGTAAGAAAATTAAGATTTGATAATTAACAGACAATAATTAGAACACGTAAAGTATTAAATGTTAAATTCTTATCAAATTGATTTCCAACCTGTGACGCAACTAATTGAATTACGCTATGTCTTTACCGCTATTACCGAATTGTTTATCTCTCTTCTTTTTTTCTTTATCAAATTCTGGGAATCTCTTAAGAAAAAGGAAAATTTCCAAAAATTCCGACAACTCATTTATATTTTTCTAGGGTTCTTTGAGTATACCAACCTTTGTCATCAGCCGCTCACAAGTAATCTAAGATTTAAAGAACAACAGCTCATATTCTTATTGGTTATGGACGGAATGATCAACAAGACTCTCACATCAATGACGTTGGAGGTGGATTACCCGTCAAGATACCGGTTGACGCGAGTTTCAGCGCAATGGTGAGGAGTGCACAGAACCTTATTGGAAGACTTTTGAATCCAAAGTGTTAAATATATGGCTCGGATGTTATGGCATATGCGACATATTTGGAAGATTTATGACAGGGCAAGGGGAGTGGCTCTCACAAGAGAAAATTTTCAGTTCATATTTGAACTGGAAACGGACTTGGAAACAGTGATGAAAACCAGATTCTGGTTTTTTGATGATTGGAGCTTGGTAATAGATCGATGGAGTGAATTTCCACCATCAGACTTCCTCAAATCGGCACGAGTGTGGATTCAGATGCACAATCTGCCGATGAATTACTTCATGCTGGGAATGATGGATATGGTTGCGAGTGCGGTTGGTGGTGTCAAAACGATTGAATACGATTCAGAAAAAACCATCGCTACAGAAATAGATTAGAGTTTTAGTTATCCTTGACTTAGCTCAACTGGTGAGGGATACGAAATCACTTATTTACCCAATAGCTCCATAGCAATCGTGGGAGTAGAATACGAACACTTTCATAAAAAGTATTTTCATTGCTTGAGGCTCACACACGATAAACAGAGATGTCCTCTACTGCAGGAGATTAGAAATAGAGGTAAATGTGAGCACCAAGCTTCACAAAACAGAGCACGTCCTAGTTATTAGCCACGACAACACCACAACAACCTTTTAGAGAAACGTATGCCCCTACTGGCACCATCAATTCCCCCGGGCTTTAATCACCCGCCGAACATGGTTGTCCCAGAAAATTTTGAGCAAATGAAGATGTACATGCTTTGTACTGATCCAGATAAAGAATGATACGTGAGCAACTAGTGAGACAAACATTAGATGATCTATCTCGAGATCCAGTGAGTCAATGATCGTGCCTATGTTTAGAGACTCCTCCAACCATTCAAATAGTAGCCTCAAAGGGTAGAAGGAACTTGGAAGATAATGTATAGTCAGTCTCTAACCAAAGTTTCTCAGGCGGTTCAAGAATGAAGAATTTTTCAGAACTGATCCTTAATCATGAGATATGAGGAGAAGAGCGGCAGAATAATGAGAATGTATGGATGGATGAGCAAAACCAGAGTGCTCCAATTCTCAGCCTCACAAATCGTTAGGTAAGCTTTGATCAAACCTCGTATTGGAGACCACGAGTAGAAGAAACTGCAGAGAATGGATTTCAACAGATTATGGGGGGTGGGGCACAGAAGCAGCCTAATATAACACTGAGCCTCATTAGAGTCGGAACTGAGGGGAGGAGTGACATGGCTCAAAGTTCAGAAGGTTTACCACAGCAAAATGCCAAGCGCCCCAGAGTGGAAACTCCTAAAAAGATGCTTGGGAACCTAGATATTGATCTACTCCAGAATGGTTTTCATATGGGATGTGTTGCACCAATGGCATTGAGCCTGAGTGGTAAAAATGGTTCTGGACAGCAGAGGAAGAGTTCATGACCCGCAAAGGCAAATCGAAGCAGAGTAGTATACAAACACCTTTGAGTACAACACCCGCAGCAGCAGAGGAATTTTCGGCTGCAAAACAAAAAGCGACTGAGGAAGCTGAAGTATCCTCAAAAACCTATAAGATAGCTGATGGTTTGATGGCTTCCCAGAAACCATCCAATGCTCAATGACGACACTCTGTTGGAACTGTCAGAGTTTGAGAAATAACCTGACAGTTTGACGCCTTGAGAAGATGTGTCGTGAGCATCTCTCGGATTTTCTGTTTCTCCTAGAGAGTAAAAACTCTAGTGAGCACGTTTTGAGGTTGACGAGATCCCTTGGCTACGATAATTCCTATATTGTAAACCCATTGAGTCTGAGTGGTGGTTTGGCATTGTTTTGGAAGAGCACTTATGAAGTAGATGTGTTATACGCGGACAACCAAATGATTGATGTAAAAGTACAGGCTGGATCAACAAAGTTTTCCATGACTTTCGTTTATGGGGATCAAGTAAGCAACCAGAGAAGAGTGGTTTGGGATAAATTTACTTTGATTGGCTTACAAAGAAGAGCAGCATGGATGTTAATCGGGAATTTCAACGAGATTATGAATAATTCAGAGAAATTTGGAGGCAATCCCAAGCAAGAAGCAACTTTCTATCATTTCCGTGCTCTGGCAAGAAACTATCGAATCAAGGAAATCCTAAGCTCTAGGAACAAGTACTCATGGGCCAGGAACAGAGAGGTGATACTTAATGGTAAAAAAAGAAATAGTATGGATTCAATCTCGTTTGGATAGAGCTTTTGGAAATTCGGAATGGTACTGGCTGTTTCCACGATTACATACTACATATCTAGAAAGACTAAGCTCTGATCACAGACCGATTGTGACAAAACTAGCGCCTCAGGGTAATGGTCGGGTTGGCAGATTCAGTTTTGATAAACGTTGGTGTTCCAAGCCCGAGGTTGCTGCAGTAGTTCGACGAGGATGGGAAAAGGGGAATGGATCAGTCTCTGAAAGGATCTCAAACTGTCAGAAGGAGTTAGCTAGCTGGAAGCAAAAATCTAGATGCAACTCTAAAAAGAAACTCAGAAATTGCAGAGCAGAACTTGAATCTGAAATAACAAAACTAAGTCTGAATCAGAAGAGAATGTCTGATCTGAAATTGGAGATACAGAAAGCCCTGAAAGAATAAAAGGTTTTTTGGAACATAAAAAATAAAAATAGAGGGACTTTAATCTCAAATATCCCTAAATTCTAACTGCCCCTCCATTAATGAATTGACGGTTTACTCCTTCATTTAAAAAAAAAATCAAAAAAGGAAAAAAAAATTAATTCAAACCAACCCTAAAATTAATTCTCTAAACCAACCAAACCAACCACCAAAATTGCACCTCTCGTGATCTTCTTCCTCTCACGTTTCCACCATTGATGAATCAGATGCGTGAAATTAAAAGTTAGTTGTTGCTGTTTTTTATGCTATTTTCGATTTCATGATTGAATTATCAAGTTTATGTCATAGGCAAAGCAATCCCAAAGCAATTAATACATAGTTTCTTCTCAATTAGGAAATTTCATAGTAAATAAATTTTTGATTTTTTTTTTCTCATTGGAGTCACTGAGCTAGTTAGGTAAGGCTATTAGAAACTGATATTGTTAATTAAATGGGATATCTTGGTTAACTGAGCAATGCATTGTAATGAATCGTATGATGAACCAAACTTTATGGGTACTACTGGGTACAACTATCATAACTGGACATAGTAAGTGAATTAGTACGACTAGGATGAACCAAACTTTATGGGTACTACTGGGTACAACTAGCATAACTGGACATATTAAGTGAATTTAGTACGACTAGGATTAACCAAAATTTCTGGGTACTACTAGGTACAACTAGCATAACTGGACATATTAAGTGAATTTAGTACGATTAGAATTAACAAAACTTTCTAGGTACTACTGGGTACAACTAGCATAGCTGGACATATTAAGTGAATTAGTACGACTAGGATGAACCAAACTTTCTGGGTACTACTGGTACTACTAGGATAACTGGACATCTTAAGTGAATTAATGCGACTAGTAAAACTGGTATAACTATGATAAGATTACCTTACGATTGTTTTGTTCTTTTCAGGGGAAATGAGTAGCAGTGGTTGCACAGTCATATGTTTTGATTATGGGGGATTCTATTCAAAAGACGGTGATAAAATTATATGGAATTCTGTAGAAGATGAGATTCACACTTTAGTGATGAGGAAATCTTTGGAGGACGTCACTTATGCTGAATTAGTGGAGGGAATTTGCAGAAAGGTTTTGATAGATGCAGCTACATCTCAGCTGAAAATTAGTTACTATCCATTGGTCTTGAACACGAAGAAACCATCATATATTTGGAATGACAAAAATGTTTTTGGTTATCTACTACAAATGAGTAAAGATCAATGTAGAAGTGTTCTACATGTGGAGTTCATCAAGGATGTTGATCAAAGTCATGGAAGCGTGCATGTTTCAAGAGAGGATCATAGAGTTGATGTTGATGTAGGTCCGAGTAATGATGAGCTGTTTTCTACCGCTAGAGATGGTTTAGAAATACCGGACAGTGAAATGCAAGACAATGAAATGCAAGACAATGAGATACAAGAAAATGATACAGATCCTTAACAAAGATATGAGCTCGTGTATGATGATGATACAGAAGTCATACATTATGATGGAAACTCACAAGTAAATCATGGATGTGAATATGGTTTAGATAAATATAAAGGTCAAGAATTTGACACTAGGCAGGGACTGCAAGCTCTCCTGCAGAAAGGTGCACATGAGAATGGTTTTGAGTATGAAACAAAGAAGTCTGAACCCACACGTTTCGTGGTAAAATGTTAGGGAGCAAAAGAGGGATGCAAGTGGGGTTTAAGAGCTTCTGTGCTTATGAACTCAAATAGTTTCACTATTGTCACTTACAACAAGGTGCACACATGCTCTCGGGTTACTACAAGAACAATCAGACAAAAAAGGAAAGGCACACCACACTTAGTTGCGGCTGTTTTGGCTGAAGACTATCCATGTCGATTCGACACACCAGATCGAAAACGCTGATCAATATGGTTCAAGGCAGGCTTGGCGTGAAAGTATCGTACTCGACAGCACTGAGAGGAAAAAACAAAGCTGCTAATGAGGTGCGGGGAAGTTCTGAGGAGAGTTATTGGTGGCTATATTCTTATTTGTACATGCTAGAGAAAGTGAATCCAGGTACACGGACTTGTGTGGAATTAGATGAGCAGAAAATGTTTAAGTACCTATTCTTTGCATTGGGAGCTTGCATAGAAGGGTTTCTATCGATGAGGAAAGTCATTATTATAGATGGAACCCACCTGAAGAACGTATATGGTGGAGTTCTAATCGTTGCTTCAGCTCAGGATCCTGATCATCATCATTATCCCATAGCTTTTGGTGTAGTTGATGGTGAGAAAGATGCAAGTTGGACGTGGTTTCTAAATCAGTTGAAGTCAGTAACACCAGATGTCCCTGGAATGGTGTTTATTTCGGATAGGAATCCAAGCTTGATCAAGTCAATAAGGGAAGTGTTCCCTTTGTCTCAGCATGGGTATTGTGTAAGGCATTTGTCACAAAATGTGAAAGGACACGTTGCTACCCACAGAGATGCATGTGCGAAGAAGTTCCTCGAGTGCGCTAAAGCTTATACAGAGGTTGAGTTCGGAAAACTCTATAGTGCTTTTAGGATGAAATATCCATCTGCTGCCGAGTATCTAGATAAAAGTGTTGATGAGAAAAAATGGGCAAGATGTTATTTTCCAGGAGAAAGGTACAACATAGATACCACCAATACTGTAGAATCTATTAATGGTGTTTTTGTAAACGCCAGAAAGTACTCGCTGTTGCCAATGATTGATGTAATTGTTGCCAAATTGGTTGAATGGTGGAACACCCATAGGCAGACTGCCGCTGAAGTCCCACTGTCACAGAAGCTTGTGCCTTTGGTGGAGAACGAAATAGATCTAAGATGTGTCGATGCAAAGAAACTCATTGTGCAAGAGTTAAACAGCTATCTCCATGAATACAATGTGATTGGGCTTGATGGGAAGAATTATTTGATATGACTAGAAAAACTTGTTATTGCAAGTATTTTGATATAGACAGATACTCATGTGTGCATGCAAGTGCTGCTGCCATCCATATGAGTAGAGATATGGAACTTCATCTACAAGAGTTTTGTTCCAAATATTATTTGGTAGAGCTATGGGCATTGGCATACTCCAGGACAATCTATCCAGTTCCTCATATGTCTGAATGGGTTGTCCCTGAAGAGATACAAGCACAAGAAGTCTTACCTCCGGAATATGAAATAAAGAAAGGAAAACCGCAACAGAAAAGATTCCCATCAGTTGGAGAACATCATGGAAGAGGAAGAGGAAGAAGAGGAAGAGGAAGAGGTGGACGCTGGACTCAATGGTTTGGGATTGATGGTAGTGAAGAGTAATTTATGTCTTTGTTTTAAATTATGTGAACTATGTGTGCAACTTTGTATGACTGAGACTTGTATGCATGTTATTTCTATCAGGTATGACTAGGCACCACTAGTACAACTCTATATTCCGCGTCTAATATATCGGGTACGACTGGTGTGACTAGTACCACTCGTTTTAAGCACAACTAGTTCAACTACATTTTAGTTGTACTCAAGTCCAACTGGGAAAACCAGTATGACTATGCTTTCTACAAAAATGTCAATAACACAATTTCTAAATGTATTTGTAAACATGTTTCCACATAAAATAGGCCATAGAACATGTGCAAGCATATTTGAACATTTCATAGTTATATAAATTTGATCCATGAAAATGTTTGATCTATGAAAATGTGATGTCTACACAATCTACCTTATACTTTTAAGGTTACTTTAAAAATCTTAACCACACAAACATGAAAATCATGAAAATTTGTATTTTTATACAAATTATAGCATTAGAAATATGGTAAATGTAGT